TATCAACATACCCCGGTCCGAAACCTTCCCGAATGAAACTCATCGCCCACAAAAGACCGAAACGCCCTTACTCTTGATCTCAGAAATTCATAAATAAGTACTTTTCGAACGGGGCGTTACAAAATCGATTGTGATTATCCGAGTTGTACAGTCGTTGACGCTGGAAGAAGAAAAAGGGTAAGAATCAGTTCAGTAACAAAGTAAATTAGGGCACGACTGTTTTTTTTAATTAAATTGCTAAATAACCTTTATATGGTAAATAAGTTTAAAAGTATACATGTTGGGTAAATAAGTTTTTTAAAAACACCTATATAATCAAAAACTCATGGATGATGTATTTCATGGTACGGGTGACATAAAAAATACATGTTCCTTATAAAAAAAAGACAAAATTGCATAAATGGTCCCTGTGGTATGCAATTTTTTGTGGTTTTAGTCCAAACCACGACTTTTTTGGATTGGTGGTCTTTTTGAGCTAGTTTCATTGCGTTTTTGATCCCTCTGGATAGTGAAATGACTGTAATACCCTTGGGTTATTTATTTTTCATTTATTTTCATTTCTTTCATTTTTCTTAAAATCTAAATACTTATTTATTTATTTAACTAATTATAAAAAATAAAAGTCTCTCTCTCTCTCTCTCTCTCTCTCTCTCTCTCTCTCCACCGTCTTTTCTTCCCAAAGATCCGGTGATATCTTCGTCCAACCACCATTGTTCAATAGTCTTGAAGCTTTCGATCTTCTCCTTCACTTTAGTATCGACCTGGATCTTCAATAGTAAACTCTTTTTGTTCTTCAAATCTTTTTCTTCTTCCCCATCGTGAAAGCCAGAATCAATTTGTCACCGACATCGACGTCTTTCAAATTGAGCAAAACAGAAACAGGATCGTATACACACACGATCTTCTTATTAGGGTTACGATTTGTAATGGTGAAATTGAACTTCGAGGTGAGTTTATCCGACAAAAGTGAGGTTCAGTTATTAGAAATTGAGAAGGGGGGTTGCATGAGATGCATCACCAGTGAAGTGATTGTTTGAAATTTCTAGCCTGAGATGCAACACCATCGGAGTTCACATCACCGTCGTCTTCACACTACAAAAAATATGTCATTTAGTGGCATACAAAAAGTGTCACTAAAAACCCAATATAATGCCACTAAAAGCTTCTATGAGAATCCGCATCACACATAATAAGTGTCACTAGAAACGCTCCCACTAAAACCCTTTAGTGACACTTTTTGTTTTTGTCGCTGCAGTTTTTGGGCTTTTAGTGACACTTTTATTTGTCACAATAAAAAAAAGTGTTTTGTGGCACATATTTTGTGCCACTAAAAGCTCATGTGATTCAAGAATGCATGCTACTTTTAGTGACACATTTTAAGATTTAGTGGCACTCTTTTATTTGCCACAATGAAAAAAAATTGCGGCACATTTTATGACGGTAAATACTCATAGAGATTCTATAATCTAAGCTACTTATATCTACATAAAAGTTATCTATAATATAACATAAAATAAATAATTCCTATAATATAACATAAAATAAATAATTCAACAGTAGCACATAGAAAATAATAAAAATTGCATTATTTTTCATCAATATTTTTAAACTTTTTAAATCAAATATCTAAGTAAATGTCAAATTAAACCAAACATTTGAAAAACAGCTACAAGTCCTTGGGTACTTGACGAGTAGCTTGCAATGGCTTGTAGGCAAGCCTGCATAATAACAACAGATAGTAAAAAACAAAACATGCCAATATTTATATATTAACCTTTCTAGCGTTATATAGTGTATGTCTGTGTTATTTTGCATGTTGAATTATAAATACTAACATGGGTTTGCATTTACAACCTGATTTGTTGTCGTTACCAAGCCTCAGAATTGTTTGGGGTGCTTTTTTCAGCAATGAACACAGGTACCTTGCAACATTAAAAAGATGTTCATTTTCTCATGCAAAGAAATATTTAAAATCATACAAGTTCAATAACTTTAGGCATACATACCACATATGAAAAGACCCCACTCCAAATCATGTTGATAGTCTTCCAATATCTAGAGGCATAGACCACTTCCATCTTTATATATATATATATATATATATATATATATATATATATATATATATATATATATTTGCTCTTTTTGTTTCAAAGATTTAATGAACTCTTAGAGTAAAATCGTGAGTACCTGAGCAAAGTAAATTGCTAGCCACCCTCATATGCAGAAAGCACTTGATATTCTCAATGTCTGTTCAATTGTCGTTAGAAGATTTAACTATTTGAAACTGTAAAAAATGAGAAGAGTTAAAATTAACTTACCAAAGAAATCAGCCATGGTCCCACTTGAAATGGCACCAATCATTGCAACAAATGTCAATATTGACCAAAATAAAGAATACTATAAAGACGACAAAAACATATGATTAAACATTACATATTTCAATACATCTTTGCTTTAGATTTATGTTGATTGATAATCATGGTTCAAAAAGATTATATTGCACTTGGGCTTAATGCTTATCAAACTAACCTGGGTCATTGTTAGATTTTGAGCTTTCCTGATGACAACCTCCATAGGGGAGAAATAACCAACCTGAAGAGTAAAAGTCAAACAAATGATGCGATTTGAATTGGTTACTTTTTGACATTTTGTAGCCAATAAATGATGAATGATGAATTAACTATTGTGGCAACATATCCTCACCGTAGGTTATTATAATAAATTCCAAAACAATGCCTATTGTGGCGACATGTCCTCGTTATACTTTAAAAAAATTATATTCAAAATCTAGCAAATATCAGGAAGGGCGAGAATAAAAAAGCCTAGACATGTCCCAGTTCAAGAAACCTGATATGAAGGGAAAAAAACATTACAATTTGACTAAATACATTCCAGTCATCACTTGTGATGGATCAAGAAAGTGTAACATTGCTAAATATGAGTTTAGGGTGGAAAATGAATACAGGTGATGGATAAAGAGTCATCATCTTTTCCAATAACTCAAGAGCATTAGTATCCAAGTTGGGCAGTGAAATTGGACTAGAATATATCCAAACTTGTTCAATTACAGTGGGGCAACACACGTTAATTGAATTGTCTGAAAACCTCCAAAATAAGAACTGACATAATTGTTTTTTTATTTTGTTTTCATTATGTTTTAATGAATCATAAGCCTGTGTATTGTAATATAAAAGTTAGTTTTCAATCAATTGGGCATTTAAGATTTGTTTGCCATGCAGAAGTTCATCAAGATGTGAATAGCTAGATAACCTATAGGTATAGAAAATCTTAGCATAATGAAAGAAGCTCGGTCTAATATACTCTGTAAAAATGAATTGCAATAATTTACCAGTAATGTTGAGATTATAAAAGAAATTAATTTATATAAATAGTAAACCCAATAAATCAAAAGGCGGACCTGTTCACGAAGTAAGCCAATCCAGAAACATCTCGTTGGGGAATTTCATCGAACACTTGGTGTTCATCTAAATAAAATGTAACAAATCATGCACTACAATTTAAAATAACCATATAAACCGTAATTTCGATTCAAAAATCTATAAGTGAAATACAAATTGCAAAGAAATAACTTCGGGATGATGAGATCGCAAAATTAAGGAGTGAAGGACTTACAAGTGTTGGAAGGCTCCAAAATACATTCATTTGTAGCTACCGAAACAAACCGATGCCCGATTTTCTGACTTTCGAAACAAAGGAATCGAAAACAAACCAATCGATTTGGATATGTTGATTTATTAATGAGGAATAATGAATCGAAACTCAAAGCTTGAAACAAACCTTCAACACTTGTAGCTTAAATATAGATTTTCCAATGCTTGAATTTGATTTCATAAAGAGGAACACTGAACATAAGCTTCGAAGGAGTGGAGAACTGGAGTTGTGGATCAATTTGAGTTTTCCGATGTCGATTTAGTTCGAAGGAGTGGACAGATTTCTCAATGTCTATTGAAGGAGTTGATCGATTTGCCAAAACTTTGAAGCTTGAATATTGATTTGGCGCTGTCGATTCGACAAAATTGATCGATTTTTGTTTGCCTCTCAGCGAAAACTAACCCTAAAACGATGATGTCGACTATATGCCCTTCAAAAATAGAAATCATAGTGGTAATAAAGTGATAATTAATATCTTAAAATTTTAATAACTATAATATAAATATAATTTATTTTATTAAAATTTGGGAAATAATAAAAAATTATGATGATAATATTTATGACTTGTCATCATTTCTAGCGTTGGTGTCACGCCCGTTAGACAAAAAATATATAAAAAGTTAAAATGTTAATATTAAAACAGATTTTTCTTGTCGA